GACTGTCCTCTGCGCGCAGTTTGCGCGAGTCCCGGGGGCCCGGCCTTTCGCCGCTCTCCCTGGACTCCACCTCACAGCCCCGTCTCCCTCTGCCTGAGCCTGGGTCCCCAGGGATTGGCCCAGAACTGGGGTTCGGAGCAGTCCGGACTGAGGCTCAGCGCCGCCGGAGGCCTTGTTTCTTCTGGCTAGGGTAACCCAGCATCAGAGTCAACATTCAGTCCTCTGCGCGCATTGCGCGCGACTCCCGGGGCCCTGCCTTTCGCCGTTTTTCCGCCTCACGGCCCTGTCTCCTCCCGCCGGAGCCTGGGTCCCCAGGGTCTGGCCCATAACTGGGGCTCAGCGCTGCCGGTTCGGGGGGGCTCAGCGCTGCCGGTTCGGGGGGGCTCAGCGCTGCCGGTTCGGGGGTTCAGCCCAGGCTGGAGGTTTTATTTCCTTCCTGCTAGGGAAGGAAAGGCGGCTCCCCGCCCTCTCCTCCTCTCCGGCTGCGACCTCTCCGTGCGCGCGTGCGGGCGGGCAGGCGCGCGCAGCATGTCTCCGTACCTTAGGCTTTTTTTCAGCTCCTCTGATTTTCTTTCTGGTTTTCTCTTTCCTTCTTGTTGTAGAAATTTCAGTCAGTCGACTACCTGTAGCTCTGGGCAATGTCCACTCTACATTTTAGTTGTATTCCATTGAAATTGTTGTGTGCTGCCGCGGCTAGATGTCTACCCGAGCAGCCATCTTGGATCCTCCCCCCCACTCAGTCGGCTTAATATATTTTTTATTGATTTCAGAGAGGATGGAAGAGGGAGAGAGAGAGAGAAACATCAATGAGAATCATTGATCATCTGCCTCCTGCATGTCCCTACTGGGGATCGAGCCTGCAACCTGGGCATGTGCCTTTGACCGGATCGAACCCAAGACCCTTCAGTCCACAGACTGATGCTCTATCCACTGAGCCAAACCAGCTAGGGCTTTAATTAATTATTGTAAAATTTTTGCCTTAATGCTTTATGCAAGGAACTATGCCACGGCCTGAAAATATGACAGTGAATGTCACAAATCTGCTGTCTGCTCTGTAGCCCTTACAGTTTAGTGGGAAAAACATGTTATAGAGTCAAATAAATATATACTAAAATGTGGTATCACTAGGAAAAAGTGAATGGTAAGTAGTTTATTTTATTTTAATTTCTTTATTGATTATGGTATCACATAATTGTCCTCATCCCCCCATTCCCATCCCTAACCCCTCTCCACGTATGCCCACCCCCTGTTGTCCATGACCACTGGTTAGGCTTATATGCATGCACACAAGTCCTGTGGTTGATCTCTCCTCTTTGCCCCCACCCTCCCCTACCTTCCCTCTGAAGTTTGACAGTCTGATTGCTGCTTCTCTGTTTCCAGGTCTGTTTCTGTAGAAGTTTATTTTTAAAAAGTCCTTACCTTTTAGTGATATATACCAAAGTATGTACAAATGAAATGATATTTGGGAATTGCCTCAAAATATTACAAGGTGTTGGGAGTGAGGGAAAGTAGGAAGAAGTATAGCTGAAATAAGATTGGCCAGAGATTGATCATTGTTGAAGCTGATGGTTAATTATACTCTGTTTTTATGCATTTGAATTTGTCCATAATGGAATATAAAAAATCAGAAGAAAAGATGGAGGTGAAGTTATAACCGATCTATAATACATTCAGGGACCAAGGAAAGAAACTTTTCAGCTAAGACCTTTGTGGTAATGTAGGAGTTGACCAGGCTACAAGTGGTGGGTGGTGGGTGGGGAAAGAGCTTTTTCGGCCGTGGGAACAGCATGTAAAAAGGCCAGAAGCCCTGAGGAAAGAACAGGTTGGTGCTTTGAGGAAATGAAAGAAAGCTGGTGTTGTCTGAGGGGAGAGGCTGGGGAAGTAGGCATGAGCCAGATCTTATAAGACCTTGGAGACCATGTTAAATATTTTATTCTTCAGTCCAACAGTGTAGAAGGAAGCTTCTCTAGAAGGGTTTTAAGTAACAGAGTGGCAAGGTTACTAGTACATTTGCTTCCTTAAGGGCTCAAGCTGCTTCATGGAGAATGGTTTTGGTTCAGGGTTAGAGGAGAAGGAAATATAAAGGTAAAAGTAGAGAGACATTAGGAGGTCGTTGCACTAGGCCAAGAGATCTGGTGACCTTGGATTAGTGACAGTGTTGTACAAAGAGAAAAGAGATACTGACTTGAGAGATATTTTGGCCTTGGTGATGGTATAGATATGAAGGGTGAAGGAGAGAGGTATCAAAGGTGAGGTGTACATTTCTGACTGATGCATCTGAGTGGTTGGAAGTATAACTGACTAAAATGGGGGAAATGAAGTAAGAGCAGGTTTTGTAGCAAGAGATAGCTCAGTTTGTTCAAAGCATAGAAAATTTGTACCCATTTGCATTTTCACCTTTACATGAGACTACACAAAATGTTTATAATCGGAGGCCTGATCTGTACAGATTTGTGTTTTAAAAAGATTCTGGTGGGAGTCTGGAGACCAATTAATTGTTAGTCCATGAATTCTTTGAATCAGGAATCTCATCTGTATTATCTCTGCCTTTGTATCCATAATAACTATAGTGAGTGGTTGGGCGGCCTTAGCATATTATTAGCATATTATGCTTTGATTGGTTGAATGGACGACTGGGCACTTAGCATATTAAGCTTTTATTATATAGGACTAGAGGCCCAGTGCACAAAATTCATGCAGGTGTGGGAGTCCCTCAGCCCAGCCTGCAACCTCTCCAATCCAGGACCCCTCGGGCAGGATCAGGCCTATACTGATCAGGCCTATACTGGCAGTCAGACATCCCTCTCCCAATCCAAGACTGCTGACTCCCAACCGCTCACCTGCCTGCCTGCCTACTCACCCCTAACTGCTCTCCCTTGCCAGCCTGATTGTCCCTAACTGCCTCTGCCTTGGCCCCCGCCACCATGGCTTTGTCCAGAAAACATCTGGTCTATCTGGTCTAATTAGCATATTACCCTTTTACTAGTATAAATTATTGACTATATTCCTTATGCTCCATAGCAACTTGTAATTACTGGTTTTGGCTTCTGATTTTGTTCATAAACAAATATACTTTAACTATTTTATCATGAATTCTAGAATCTAGAGCAAAGGGAAAAATGTAAAGAAACATGAGATATTAACTTTTGGTCCCATTTTAAACTCTATATGACTTAGACCATATCTGAGTTCTTTTATGAAAACTGTAATTAAAATAGACACACAGCCCCCTATGAAACCTCATATCTGCTTAGGTTTTTTGTTTGTGTTTATGTAACTCCCTATCATCGAAAGAAATGTGTGAATCTTTTATGTGTTTATTAGCTATAAGGCAGATCTACTGTGCAAATCTGTCCGGAAATTTGAGGGACCAAAGGTCTTTTTAAAAGATAAATCTGAGCCTATCGAGATAATAGCAGTAAGATATTGGGATAAAATTTCAGACAGAGAATTCCACCTGGTGGTTATAAGGAGAATTTGAGCCTTCTGTATTTGTATTATAGTATTTGCCATAGTATCTGAATGATATCTTTGTTTAAAAAATTGCATTCTTATTTATGATAGTTGTGGATTCAAATTTCTGAGAATATCTGGCATACGATTCTAGCCTTCCTTTATTGAGACTGCTATCAAAAACTGCAGAGCAACCAAATAATTGTGTCCGGCAGGACTGAAGTCTTGTGCCCTTGAGATGTTCAAAACCCAGGGTCCTATTTGTCTCTGGAGGAAAGTCATTTTGTGTCTTTTCATCTCTATTGCAACTGCTAACTTTGATATCATGCTAATTTTATGTGATAAGTTTCTGCCTAGTAGAATGATGGAGAAGGAAATATTAGTGATTTTTCAGTAAGAATTTGTCAGGTGTTATATAAAAGTAAGTTGCTTTTCCTGTACAAAGATTATGAATGTGGGGGGGAAAGATTATGAAGAGGAGTTTGATAATTTTCCAGAGGGGTTATTAGGGTGAGCAAAGTCGACAAGGGATGAGAGATTATGTAACCATTTTTAATTAAAATATGTAGCTGAGATTTTTATTTCAATAAGCATCTTTACATTCTTGAATGTAGGTAATTCTATAGGGTAATGTAGGGACATCAGCTCAAGGAGAAAGGATCCTATTAACCTAATCTGGATGCATATTTTATAGACCTGCTCGGGAGGGGAGGATAAACAAAGTTTTAAATTTCAGGTTGAACCTTAGGTTGGTATGGCATCTCTGTATCTTTTTTCCTAGTAGGAAAAGTGAATCCAGGCCCCACCACCATTGAAAAGTTGCTTGAGGGAGGGCTGTTCATGTAAGATACTAAATAGAATGCAATATAGCTTTTCACTGTTCTCCTAGGACTTTTCTTTATATAAGTAACGGTATTACAGCATCTACATTTCAATACTCATATCATCAGACATGGTAAAAGGTTGCTCCATACACAAATGTTCACATATTGTATAATCCCATTTATATGAAATGTCCAGAATTGGCAAGTCTATAGAGACAGGTTAGATTTATGGTTGGCAGGGCCTGGGGGCTGGAGCGGAATTGGGAGGAAATGAGGAATGCCTGCTTATGGGTTTGAGGTTTCTTCTGGGAGTGGTGAAAATGCTCTGGAATTAGATAGTGGTGATGGTTCGACATCTGTGTGAATATGGGGTGGTGCAAAAGCCAGTTTACAGTTGTGACTATGCAAAGCAGAGGGTTTATTCTTACATTATTATGTATTAATTATTGTGTTATTTTCTATATGAGCTACCAGTACAAACCTACTTTTGCCTCGCCCTGTATACTAAAAACCACTGTATTGTACACTAAAAAAAACTAAAGCTAAATGAAAAAAAGGAAAGCCTATTCATGGAGGAATGAACTAAACTAAAAAAAAGGTGATTGAGATAACAATCCTCTCACTTACGTTCTAGCTGAAATGTTTGATAATCTAAACATTACAGTTTGAGCCTTGAATGTTGTTTTAATTTGTTCTTTATTGATTTGTTCCTGACCTTCACAGGGCCACGATGGGCCTCCTGGAACATTGGTGTGTTCATCTGCATTCGGTGTGCTGGAATCCACAGGAATCTGGGGGTGCACATATCCAGGGTAAAATCAGTTAACCTTGACCAGTGGACTCAAGAACAGATTCAGGTACTTTATACAATCCAAAAGAGTGTGTTACAGTAGTTCTGGGTGAATTTCAAACTGGGCACAAAGGTAAAGATAAAGGGAAGTTTAGTTGTCGAACACCTATATCCAATTCTCATACCTTAATAGTGAAAATTTTAATCTTTCTATTTAAAGTACAGATTATTCCACCTATATTTTACCTACTTCAAATCACAAATGGTTTATGGTCTAGCACCCCGTGGATTGAGAAAGATGTAAAGGAGGATCTTTGGATTATTTTCTAAGACACTTGACATCTGCAGATCTAACATTTGTAGTTTTAGATATTCTCTAAAAATAAATTGAAAAAGCCCTCTCATAGACTTATAACATTTTATTGCTAAAATGCTTGCTGTTAGGTTGGTGGGTTGGGATGAGACACTAGAGTTAGGGAGTCCAGCTGGCCCAAGATCTGCACCTCATTGTGGCTTTATTGTTCTCTTCCTACATTGACACTTTTTATAGTAATTAAGGGAAAAAATTCTTGGGGAGAGTGGATCCAAAGAAAACCAGTTGCTAAAGAGGATGATAGAAATAAGAGATTATTCTGAACCAGAACATGGCCTTAGAAATATTTTAGACTGGTGTGTGTGTGTGTGTGTGTGTGTGTGTGTGTGTGTGTGTGTTGTTTTTTGTTAATCCTCACCCGAGTGTATTTTTCCCATTGATTTTTAGAAAGAGTGGCAGGGAGAAAGGGAGGGAGGAGAGAGAGAGAGAAACATGGATGTGGAAGAGACACATTGATTGGTTGCCTCCCGACTAAGGTCAGGGATTGAACCTGTAGCCTAGGTACTTGCCTTTGCCTAGGAATTTGATGCTCAGGCCAACACTATACCCACTAAGCACACCAGCCAGGGCTTATAGATTCATTAAAAGTCTGAAGTTTAGTATACTTCTCAGTTGCACTTTACTGTATCTTCTGAAGGAAACTACATGCCATAGAGGTATTTGAGAATTTGAAGATTTTAAAAGATCTTGGGATTTATCCCTCCCAAGTGCTAAAAATCTATTTCAAAAACACACTTATTGGTAATAAAGCTGAATGGGTTAACTAATAATATCAATTCCGAGTGTAGTTACTGGCTGCATGTTGCCTGCCAGATTAGGTACTGATTATTGCCTGCCAAGTAGACATTTGTTAGCTATGTGTCTTGGACTTTCAAATGGAATTTTGAATTATTACTGAATTAAAGGTATCTTGTCAGACAGACTTTTCAATAAATGGAACTCGGGTGAGGTAGGAAAGACAGCGGTAGGGGCAAATGGTTGCGAGCAAAGTAGAGAGAATCGTGGATTGGAAATCAAAATACACAGGTTTTAAACTATCATCTTCTTTAGCAACTGGGTTTCTTTGGATCCACTCTCTAGATTACTTCTTCAATGTAAAATGCTGCTGCCGAAGCCGGTTTGGCTCAGTGATAGAGCATCGGTCTGCAGACTGTAGGGTCCCAGGTTCGATTCCGGTCAGGGGCATGTACCTTGGTTGCGGGCACATCTCCGGTAGGGGGTGCGCAAGAGGCAGCTAGTCGATGTTTCTCTCTCATCGAAGTTTCTAGCTCTCTATCTCTCTCCCTTCCTCTCTATGAAAAATCAATAAAGTATATTAAAAAAATAAATTAAAAAAAAATAAAAACATTAATGAATGAATGTTCTTAAAAAATAAGTAAATAAAAAATAATTTAAAAATAAAATACTGCCATTGGATGAGAAGTTTTAAAATTCTTTTCTAATCTGACATTCCATGTTTCCACACCTCTTCGGTTGCAGTGTATGCAAGAGATGGGGAATGGAAAGGCAAACCGACTTTATGAAGCCTACCTTCCTGAGACCTTTCGGCGACCTCAAATAGACCCGTATCCTTTCTGGAGCAACTTAGAAGACTGAGTGGTATTTTGGTGTTTGGGGAGAGTCACAGAATAGTCACGACTCATGACCTGCCTGTGTAGTTAGATCTAATCTGTGTGGATTCGTTCTATCTTGTTTTCTTCTCTCTCCTGCAACCAAGGCCTACAAAAAGCATATGTATACATTCTGTGTCACAATGGTGGTGTCACAGGGCGAAAACTCATTCAGGAATTAAGATTGGAGTGGTTCAGTTTCACTGTGAATTCTTCTGTAAAGTGACATCTCCAATAGTTTTTTGGATCTCTGAAGCTACTGTTTGATAAAAATCATTTACTGTGTCATGTTGAATCACAAAAACTACTATTCACTTTTTAAGGCCTTTTTATGTGCTGTGTGAAAGAGTGAACTGTTGTTGACCAATTAGTAACTTTTTTCTCCCATCCCCTCTGCATGGGAGAGCACCCAGCTCACAAAGCCAGTGGTTTGTTGACCATCTTGTTAGAGTTGGCTTTTTGGTTGGTACAGGTAGACTTAAAGCAGATTTGGAGCCAGGGAATCTCACCACGGGGTACAAGAGTTTATAGTGTTGTGGGGTTTTTAAAATATATTTTATTGATTTTTTAAAAAAATACCTTTATTTATTTATTTATTTAATATATTATATTGAGTTTTTACAGAGAGGAAGAGAGAGGGATAGAAAGCTAGAAACATCGATCAGCTGCCTCTTGCACACCCACTACTGGGGATGTGCCCACAACCAAGGCACATGCCTCTGACCAGAATCAAATCTGCGACCCTTGAGTCTGCAGCCGATGCTCTATCCACTGAGCCAAACCGGTTTCAGCAAGAGTTTATAGTTTTTAGGGTCACTAGTTGACTTTGTTTAAGGCCTACTGATGTAAGGCCTTTAAAATAGGCAATTGTCTGCTGCTTTATCTGTGTTCTAGAGCAGCGAGCGGCTCCTCTGCTGGCAGTATGAAGATTAATCCCATTTGTTGCTCTCAGTGCTCAGTAGGGAAATCAGAGGAAATAGGATTCCCTGCAATAACTGGGAAGGAGGCATTTCAAGGTTTTGGTCAAGGAAACTACATGCAAAAAGACAGGAGCCGAATGGGGAAGCCAGACGGGAGGGAGAGAGAACAATGTTCCGTGTATACAGGTTGATCTTTTATAGTCATCCTAGGAAAGACTTGCTTGATTTACCCTTAATAAGCTTTTTACAGAGCTGTCGAGGGATTTATTCGAGATAAATATGAGAAGAAGAAATACATGGACCGAAGTCTAGACATCAATGCCCTTAAGGTTGGTTGTAACTCTTTCAAGTTTTGTTCATAATAAGTAATTTGTTTATTAATCGGGCCAGGGGAGAATTTGAAGATCAGTTACTAACATGCTCAAAAACTATTATTTAAAAAATAACTCAGTTGGTTAAAGCATCGATCCAGTACAGCAAGGTTTTGGATTTGATTCCAGGTCAGCATATTCAAGAATCAACCAATCAATGAATAAATAAGTGGAACAACAAAAATCTGTTTATCTATGACTCTCTCTCTCCTTTTCTCTCTCTTTCTCTCTCCCTCTCTCCCCCCGTTTTGTTTCTCCCCCCTTCCTTTCGCTTTCTCTCAAATTGATAAAATAATAAAGATACAGAAGTAGAAAAAAGCCAGTTATTGAATCAAGATCATAAAATATCATGAAGTGAAGTTTGGCCTCAAGGGCAGACAGGACAAACCATCAGTGAGTTATTTGTCTTGATCTGCATTTGGATGCTAGTGACTCCCAATTCCAAATTATTTCTTCAGCTGGACATGTTGGGCATATGAGATCAAATAGAAAATGTGTGTGCATGCATGTATAAATTTATATCATTTATATATACACACATACAAACCCTTTGTGCATACTTAAGTTTTGTTTTCATAAGTGAAGTCAACAAAATTAAGTGTAATTAAATCACCAGTTTCCTTCAGTTTGACCAGCATGTATTTCCTGTGCATTAGAGGACTGATTGCTAATGGGACGACCCTTGTTCCTGAAAAGGGTTTTAGGTGGAGGCTACCAGTTGCCAAGTACACTTTTCATCCTAGGCATGTGGTTAGAATCTGAAAAAACGATGTATGATAACTAGGACAAGTATAATATACAGGAGGAAATATGACATGGTTTCTGGAAGAAGACTATAAGCCTGATTACTGACAACTAAAGAACCGATAAATATGACTCTTTAGACCTTTAAAAAGCCTTTGACCAGGTTCTACAGTAAATTTGTTTAGATGTAATTGACTATTTCTTGAGCCACAGAAAGACAGAAAGTATGGTATTCTCAAATTCTAGCACAGGTCCCATCTGTCATCCGATTAGTTATTCTAATGGAGAATGCACTAGTTAGTGAAATCACTAAGTTTCCACAGGGCTCTAAGCCCTTCCAGGCTATTTAAAGTTCCAAATTGATCTTTTGAGGTTATGTGAAAAGGCATTAATTGGGAGGTGAATTTCAATGCAGACCGATAAGTGCAAAATAATAATGCTCTTACCTCACAGTCATCCAGAAAAGGGACTGGGAAGTTACCTTAACTGTTCCAAGGGAGATTAACCCAGTATATAGCTATGGCTTGGATGGCATTCGAAACGGTTTGAAACCAAAGCACATACATTGCCTTTTATTTGTAGAAAACTGTGGCCTGTCTGCCTACCTTTGTTGGCACCTGAAGATGTGAAATTAGATGAGCTCAGGAAAGGGTAGAGGAAGAGGTTCTGTAGGAAGATAGTGTGCTCAGGAAAACAGCCCGTTTTACTCGCTGATAGTTCCATTTAGGAAGGAAAAAACTGTTTACCTAAAGGCCATTCCAATGTTTTTTTATTTGATGTGCTTAGATTACAGTTTATCTTACCTTTTTCCTTTTGTGGCATAAAGGTTGTGATTTACATTTTTCTTAAGTATAAATGTGAGGTGAATTACTTTGTGCATGTGAGCTTTTCCATATTTTGGATTATTTTCTTAAAATGTATTACAAAATATGGTATTATATAGGTCAAAGCATTTCAGTATTTGTCTTTCATACTTTTGCCAATATACTTTGCAGATGTTGTACTATTTTATACTGTCTTCTTAGCACTATATTACAGTACTAGTTTTACTTCATCTCTATCAACATTAGGTATTATTAAGATCTTTCTCCCCCCAACCCTCCAAAAGAGGCATTTTAAATTACATTTTTTAATCAGTAGCAAAGCCTTAAATTTTCACATGTCTGGTATACCTCTTTTCAAATGCCTGTGTTCTTTTTTTTTTTTCTTCAAATATATTTTATTGATTTTTTACAGAAAGGAAGAGAGAGGGATAGAGAGTTAGAAACATCGATGAGAGAGAATCATGGATCAGTTGTCTATTGCATACACACTGGGGATGTGCCCGCAACCAAGGAACATGCCCCGGACCGGAATTGAACCTGGGACCCTTCAGTCCGCAGGCAGACGCTATCCACTGAGCCAAACCAGTCTTGGCCAAATGCCTGTGTTCTTGAATTTACTTTGTGGTTCTGTTTGATATTTAAATGTATATATGATTTTTAAAATATGACCAATAACATGGGTGAAAATATTATGAAACATCCTCTGACAGTAACAAAAACTGAGACAGACTTTCTAATATTTTATTTTTTATGTACTTTTTGGTTTTATACAGGTGGCTCATTTGGGATACTTTATAATTCTTTTACTCTTTTTTGGCCTTATTTCCTTGATTAATGTTTTTCTAACCATTAAGCTTGGCTTTTTTTTTCTGGTTTAGAAATAAAAGATAAAGCCCTAGCCGGTTTGGCTCAATGGATAGAGCATCAGCCTGGGTCCCAGGTTCGATTCCGGTCAAGGGCATGTACCTTGGTTACATCCCGAATAGGGGGTGTGCAAGAGGCAGCTGATCAACGTTTTTCTATCACCAATGTTTCTAACTCTCTATCCCTCTCCCTTCCTCTCTGTAAAAAAATCAATAAAATATATTTGAAAAAAAAAAAAAAAAAAGAACACAGGCATTTGAAAAGAGGTATACCAGACATGTGAAAATTTAAGGCTTTGCTACTGATTAAAAAGTGCAATTTAAAATAAAATATTTTTTAATTTTAAAAAAAGAGTAGTCAAAAATAAATAAATAAATAAATAAATAAATAAATAAATAAACAAAAATAAAATCAACAAAGAATATGTATTAGTTAGATGAACATGAACTTATTTCACCAAGATGAGGAGGGACCCCCTCAAAGCATGAGCAAATTAAACTTGAGTCAGAAAGGGGCAGCAGATGGGCAAAATGTTTTATCCTCTATAGCCTATACTGCACATTTCAAGAGTCAAAAGACAGATCAGGGAGGCCAGGTGCTTAAGATAGTGGTCGGCAAACTCATTAATCAACAGAGCCAAATATCAACAGTACAACGATTGAAATTTCTTTTGAGAGCCAAATTTTTTAAACTTAAACTTCTTCGAACGCCACTTCTTCAAAATAGACTCGCCCAGGCCGTGGTATTTTATGGAAGAGCCACACTCAAGGGGTCAAAGAGCCGCATGTGGCTCTGGAGTCGTGATTTGCAACCACTGGCTTAACATATTTGAAGGATGCCTCTTAGAGCTTTGAGGCTGATGTGGACCAGGCCGACTCTCATACCCCACACCAACAACTCCAAAGCTTGTCAGACTCCTGTATCAGAGTCAACAGGGACTTTTTGTTTCCATTTTGGACTTTTGGAAAGGCAATTTATCGAAACTGGCTAGTCACTATTGAGCCTGTGTTCTTTGTCTTGTTTTTAAAATCATTATAGAAAGAAAAAGATGACAAGTGGAAAAGAGGGAATGAGCCAGCTTCAGAGAAAAAAATGGAACCTATTGTTTTTGAGAAAGTGAAAATGGTAAGTGGGAAAGTATTGCACTCTGTGGGTGGCCTCAGGTGTGTTTATAAGTGGAGGGTGGCCTGCAGTTGATAGCGTATTGTACCTGGGCCTAAAGGGTTCCGCATTTAGATGAGCTCACCTGCTGCCACTTCCGCTTCTTCCCCACTGCTAGTTGTTGCCTAATCTGCTCTGTCAGTTTCTTTGGAGCTAAGTGGCAGCTTAGGAACCTCATCTGTCCCATTTAAGCAAGAGGCATGTTCCAGCCGAAACCGGTTTGGCTCAGTGGATAGAGCGTCGGCTTGGGGACTGAAAGGACCCGGGTTCGATTCCGGTCAAGGGCATGTACCTTGGTTACGGGCATATCCCCAGTAGGGGATGTGCAAGAGGCAGCTGTTCGATGACTCTCTCTCATCGATGTTTCTAGCTCTCTATCTCTCTCCCTTCCTCTCTGTACAAAATCAATAAAATATATTTAAAAAAAAAAAAAAGAGGCATGTTCCATGCCAGAATGTCAAGGCTGTGTGACACTTTCTGAGTAAATGTACCTCTTGTTAGACCTTCTGTATCTCAGTCCAGCCCTAACTGGCTTGGCTCAATGGATAGAGCATCGGCCTGTGGATTTAAGGGTCCCAGGTTCGATTCCAGTCAAAGGCATGTACCTTGGTTTGCAGGCACGTCCCCAGTGGGGGGTGTGCAGGAGGCAGCTGATAGATGTTTCTCTCTCATTGATGTTTCTGACTTTCTATCCCTCTCCCTTCCTCTCTGTAAAAAAAAAAATATATCAATAAAATATGGGGTTTTTTAAGTAAAAAAATAAAAATAAAAACAGACCAGAAGCCAGGCTAGACTGACCCATTTTAAGCAATCACTTCTTGTATTCTTGCTCTGTCATATTGAAGTAGACACCTTTCTCTTTGCACAGGACATAGTGTGGCTGTAGTAGTGGATATCTAATGTCAGAGCTTGGAATCTTAGGAGAGAGGACTTTTTACTGTTTGCTTAAGGAAGAGTGTTTTATCATCATTCTGAATCGCACTGTCTAAAGAACACAGTCATTAGTGATATTGGCAGAATGAGTTAGGTAATCTTTAGACTGATCTCCCTTTTGGTATTAAAGGTTTTCTAATCATTGGGGGATTTGCTGGCTCTTGGCTCTTATACCATCAGACACCTACCTTTTTTCTTGTGGTTTTCTTTTTTTTTTTTTTTTTCCCCTGGGACCAAAACCTGCTACTTCTCTTGGACCCCTGATCTGTGGTTGTGTTGGTTTCAGACAGATCTGTCTCTTCAGAAAGCCAAACAAACACAGATGACACCTTTGCGTTTCCCTTTAGGTCTGATTTATGCACTTGTACCTCTGACTTGATTCTTTTGCCTGACACTTCCTGAGTTTTGTTCTTTGGTTACTCCCTTTGAATAACATCAGCCATACCACAATAACGTCTGCGGCTTTACAGTGGGGAGGGGAAAAGGGTTCAAAACGCCTGCTTACTTCTTTCAATAACATGTTTTCGCCGTAGCCACAGAAAAAAGAAGATCCACAGCTACCTCGGAAAAGCTCCCCGAAATCCACAGCACCTGTCATGGATTTGTTAGGCCTTGGTAAGAGTCAGACATGCCCACTCCCAGAATCTTACAGATTCTCTCTGACCCTGGGAGGCTGGGCAGAGATGGGAGTCTTTATTTTTGTATCCCTCTCACTAAGAGTGTTCTCTCATGTTCTTCCTATAGTTTTGGATCTGAGCAGCTGTGCTAAGGAAGTTTTACTGTGACGTTTTTCAGAGCGACAGTACAATGGTTAGGCGTACAGCCTTGAGAGCCAGAGTCCCGGCTCGGCCACTTACTGTTATGTGACACTGGGTAGCTCACGTAACGTCTGAACATTCCTTTCCTGTCTGTGCAATGAGGATGATACAAGTGTCCATGTCAGAGGTGTTGCTGGAAGGTTGAAGTGAGATGATGCCTCCAAAGCTCTTAGTCCCTTGCCTGGCACATTCTAAGCACTCAGTACATGGTAGCGTTTTCCTTAAACCAGCACCTGTGAGCCTTGCCCCTCCCTCTCATTTTTCAGGCGCAGCCTGATTCTGAGATGGCCCCTTACCTTGTGCTCATTTTTCTCCAAACCTTAAACCCCCGCCCCATTCAGAAGTAAACCTGCTCTTTATCTTTCACAGTACTGACGGCTGTACTTTATTTCAATCCATTTCTGCGGACTTGGGTTACTGGCTGCTTAGGCTTCTAATTTTAATGTATCTTTAATTTATCTCTGAAAATGAATCCTACACAGTGTTATCCCTCAAATAGCCAGAAAGGAGCCAGCGCCCTGTGCCTGATAGCCGGGCTGCAGGCTTCTCCAGAGTGCTCCTGGGAATGTGGGGCGAGGCCTCTCGTGAGATGCCCCATCCAAGCCAGATGGTCCCAGAGGCCTAGATTTCCAGACCAGGATGGAGTGTCTGGGCTTTCCTGGTCTTCGTTGTGTCTACGATAGAAGGAAGGCCTGGGCTTAATGAGCAGTGCCGCATTTTTTTTTTTTTTTTTTTTAACTTTAACCTTTCTTTCCAGATGCTCCTGTGGCCTGCTCCATGACAAGCAGTAAGACCAGCAATGCCCTAGAGAAGGACTTAGATCTTTTGGCCTCTGTTACATCCCCCTCTTCTTCAGCTTCCCGAAAGGTGAGTTTTGCGGGCTCCCCAGGAGTCAAAGAGTAGTGTTCTGGAAAGAGTGATTTTGATAACTGAATCATGGAGCTGAGTGATGCTTCCTTCGTGGAAGTAGGATTTGGCTTTCTTGGTTCTTGATTCTTACCTTAATCCTGTGTTGTCTCTGTTACAGCCTAAGATTACTATTCAGTCCATTCCCTCCTGCCCAAAAAGGGGCTTTAAGTGGGCTTCTGCCTAAAGTGTGTCAGATCGTACGGCTGATACTTTAGGTCAACTCCTCGGCCTGAGTTATTGCCAAAGGATTTATACGTGTGAAAGACTTGAAACATTTTTTGGCTACTATTTGTGGAATATCTGCTCTGTACCAGGCACAGTGCTAGGTGTTTCTATATATTTCACTTATAATTTAAAATCTTAGTTACAACCTGCAAAATGGTATTTTATAGATGAGGAAACATTAGTTCAGAAAACTTATGTGCCCAGCCTCTTGATACACAACTAGTAAGTGGCTACTCTGGCATCTAAACTCAGTTCTTTCTGGCTGTATCATTTGTAGGTTGCTTTTATTTTTAAATTTTATTTTATATTTTTAGCAAATTACATTGTTTTGCTAAAGAACAAAGCATTGTTCCAGAGCTTACCTATTAGGTGTTTTATGATATCTGTATGGTAAAATGTTAGGAGGTAGGTTCCATGCCAACTACTAACTTCAGCCATCAATTCTTTTTTGTTTGTTTATTTTTTAAAATATGTTCTTATCTATTTCAGGAAGGAAGGAAAAGAGAGAGAGCAATAGAAACATAAATGATGAGAGAGAATCATTGATTGGCTGCCTCTTGCACACCCCCTACTGGGGATTGAGCCCGCAACCCAGGCATGTGCCCTTGACCAAAATCAAACCCAGGACCCTTCAGTCCACAGGCTGATGCTCTATCCACTGAGCTGAACCGGCTAGGGCTTTTTTGTTAATCCTCACCTGATGATAATTTTCCCATTAATTTTTTTTTTTTTTTTAAGAGTGAAAAGGAGGGAGGGGGTAGAGGAGAGAAACGTTGATGTGAAGAGAGACACATAGATTGGTTTCTTCCCACATGTACTCTGACCCGGCCCTGGATCAAACTTGCAACCCAGGTACTTGCCCTTAACTGGGATTCGAGCCAGCAACCCTCCAGTGTGTGGGCTGACGTTCAAACCACTGAGCTACATCGGCCAGGGCCAGCCATCAGTTCTGATTGTAAATGGTAGAAGCAGCAGAGAAACGAGGGAGCTCTTTGCAGAGATTCCTATGAGGACCATTCCATTGTCCCTCTGCCCTCTTTGCCCTAAGGTGGTCGGTTCCATGCCAACTGCAGGGAGTGCCGGCTCTGTTCCCGAAAACCTGAACCTGTTTCCAGAGCCAGGCAGCAAATCAGAAGAAACGGGCAAGAAGCAGCTCTCCAAAGACTCCATCCTCTCACTGTATGGGTCCCAGACGCCTCAGATGCCTGCCCCAGGTAGATTTCTTGGGCAAGGGGGGCGGGGAGGGCGTGGCAGTATGCCAGGTAGAGACATGAGGACTTAAATGTAGAAATTATTTGTTGCGACAGGGCAGTTGCTTTGGGGCAGTGATAGCATACTCCCAACAAGCCTCAACGGGAGTGACATTTCTTGTGAAGCAGATTCTTCTGAGGGCTCTGGTGTCACATGTCTGTGAAGTCCAACTCAAGTCTGGACCTAGACCTTAAAGGGGAAGTAGCTGGGTCAGCAACCCTCTGGTGGGAAGCCATGACAAGTCTTGTAGGCAGTCTGTGTGTCTGTGTCTGTGTAAAATAGCATTCTGAGTTGTAGTCCTGAGAAATTCTAGTTGGAAAGGAGCAGCCAGCTGATACTTTAGGACTGACTTTGTGCGCTTTCCTAACAAATCTTTACGTGTGTTCTCTTGGCAGCAATGTTCATGGCTCCTGCTCAGATGGCCTATCCCACAGCCTACCCCGGCTTCCCTGGGGTTGCACCTCCTAACAGTGTCATGGGGAGCATGATGCCCCCACCAGTAGGCATGGTAGCTCAGCCAGGGGCTTCAGGGATGGTTGCCCCCATGGCCCTGCCTGCAGGCTATGTGGGTGGTATGCAGGCATCAATGATGGGTGTGCCAAATGGAATGATGACCACCCAGCAGGCTGGCTACATGGCAGGCATGGCAGCTATGCCCCAGACTATGTATGGGGTTCAGCCAGCTCAGCAGCTGCAATGGAACCTTACTCAGGTAAGCTACCCCGTTTTATTTGGGACAAGAGTTTCCAGACTTCCTCCAGGCCATTTCACCTTGTGTCTCCCTCTTATCCTTTACATCTTCACAGTAGATGAGATAACACGAGAGACATTTATGCTTAGGTTTGCGTTCTTTTCTTTCTTCTTTCTAGAAGGGCTGTCCACATTCAGACTTTCTGCAGAGTTCTGGATTCCTGTAGAATAAGGATAACTGCCAAAACCTAAATCTCTCCATGCATCCATCAAAATAAAAAACAACCTATACTGATAAACAAGGAGCGCAAATAAAACCTCCCATAACTTACCCATGGCTACCGCGTCCAATAGACAGAATGCTACAGACTTCAAATTACATGGCGGTTGGCATATAAACACCTAAACCCAGCGGAGCCAGCATTACGGAGAAGGCAGCAGACCATAGAGGAAGGCATCCCCAGAGAGAGAGAGACCTATCCTGACTGCAAACATGCTGAGAAGAGATCTGAGACCTGGTAGACTGGGGCTCTAGCTATATGGAGAATCAAAAATAAGGGATTGAAATATATAGGAATTTAGGTGATAGCCCTAGAAAACATGGCTTCTAGGGGAGGTGGGGTGACTTACAAGGATAATTGCTCTTTGAAGGACAGTGTATTTCATCATCTTTCTCCCTGCAAAATAGTCATTTCCCTGTACTAACAGAAGAGGGTGCTCTTGAACTAAAAATGGCACTGATGGGTTGTAACACACAGAAAAATGACAACTAATAATTATAGAAAAATAGGTATCACATATTCTCAAAGGCTTCAGGTATGTATTAATTACAGTGAAAAACATAACGACAGTTACTACCTTAGCCAAGTGATCAAACGTAAAATTACCGACAGTGGCACCAATTAGTATCGTGTGCTTTCTGGTACCTTGCACTAAGACCTGAGAAGGGCACAATATCACCTACATAAATTCTTGCAGAAATGGATTCAATCATATAAAATCCAAATGGAAGGATTTTCTGCCAACTAAGTGGCCTAGATTCTTAAAACCGTGTCAGGAAAAAGAGAAAGAGGTGGCGGGGGAAGTGTTCTAGATTAAAGGAGACTGAAGAGACATGAAAATGAAATGCATATCAGAATATTGCATTAACCTTAAATCTCTTAAGCATGTGCACTGTATTGTGGTTCCAGGAACGTGTTATTTATTATGAAACGCTTACTGATGTAATGGGTGAAATGTCACAATATCTGTAGTTTTCAGTGCCCATCAAAATTTTTCAAGTGTATACAGACGAATCAGAAAAGATGGCGAAATGCTAATAATTGGTGAATTTAAGAAAGGAATAGATGGGCTTCGCTGTACTATTTCTTCCAGCTTTTCTGTAAGCTTGACATTTTCTTTAAAAGTTGGTGGGAGAAAAATAGGTCCCTAAAGAAAAGGAGCTTCTGGGGAAAATGTCCTGGGCTTAGGAAACGTAAGGCATTTTGCTTTGATCGATTGCTCCTTCTGTTCTCTGCCAGAGGCCGGTCTCCATCTGATTCAAAAAGAGGCTCTGAGCCCACTGCCTCTTTTCTCCCCACAACGTCCCTCGCAGGCACCCAAGACTCGTTGGGCTTTTTGTGTGCCTGCCTTTGTCATCCGAACACTCCGCTTCTTTCTCTCTGCCTGAGCGTGCGCAAGCGCTTTCACTGGCAGCAATAGCTCTGCGGGAGACCAGGCCGGGCGCTGGCAAGGCGGTTTCTCTGTGCCCTCGGAGCTGTCGTCGGCAAAGGAACAGTCAGCCCCTTCTTTTTAAAAAAAAAAAAATAATAATAAATTATTTTTTATTTTTTATTTTTTTTAATACATTTTATTGATTTTCCACCAAGAGGAAGGGAGAGAGATAAAGAGCTAGAAACATTGATGAGAGAGAAACATCAATCAGCTGCCTCCTGCACACCCCCTACTGGGGACGTGCCCGCAACCAAGGTACATGCCCTTGACCAGAATCGAACCCGGGACCTTTCAGTCCGCAGGCAGACGCTCTATCCACTGAGTCAAACCAGTTTCAGCAACAGTCGGCCCCTTCTGTTTAGGATGAGGGCTTGGAAGGAAAAAACTCATCAGTTTTTATGTTGTCTAGCTCCAGGGTTCCTCCTTTCCCTCCCCAACTATGACTAGTCTCTGTCAATATCTCTCTTCTGAAAAGTCCTTCATTTATGTGGCCTGGTGTCCCTGAGATGCTCTGTTGAGGTTCAGAGCAGTTAAGAACCATCACAGAGTTCTCCTTTGTCTCGTTCTGCCCATCCCGCTGACAGAGGACTCCTGCCCTGCCTTTCGCACGGACTGGCTGCGTGCCCACATCCTGGTCTGACGTCTCCTCTCTCCCTCCCAGATGACCCAGCAGATGGCTGGGATGAACTTCTGTGGGGCCAGCGGCATGCTGAGCTACGGACAGTCCATGAACGGCGGAAACGGACAGGCAGCAAGTCAGCCTCTCAGCTCTCAGATGTGGAAATGAAAACTAATCACCGGTGTGGCTGCCGCTCTCCTCTGCCCCCCCCCTTCCCTCTTTCTCCAACTCTTTCACGCCTTCCCCTTTTCCTGCCTCTCTCCATTTGGTTTAGAAATTGCTCAATCTGTCATTTGGAGTTTGGCATTCTGCCCAGCCCAGACACGCAGACCTCTCTTGTTTTATATTGTACGTGTCCCCTGGCCCTTCCGACTCCCTCCCCGGCCACCCCAGCCCTCTCCTGCACCAGCACCTTAGCAACTGTGGGCAGAAGGCACTTACTGTGGAAGGTTAAACCTCCAATCAGATTCTCAGAGGGGTCTAGATATAGGTTTTGTGTTTTAGGCCAAGAGGGGAGGGTTTGGAGGTACTTCCGTGTGTGAATAACTGTTTCTGCATACTTAAGTTATTATTGAAGAGGGAGGCATCACGCCCCCATGATTTGTGGGAATGAAGAAAGTGCTGAAATAAAAATCAAATACTTATACTGGGTCTTAGATCAGGTTGGCCCCTCGCCTTGGGGAGATACAAGCCCCATCTATGAGGATGAGCAAAAACGTCCCTCTCCGGTCCCCTGCACTGCTTTCTGGATCTGAAGCCTCAGGACTTGCTGCTTAAGTCAACCTTTATCAGCACCAAAGACTTAGGAAGGTCCCTCCCAAAACACACAGCCCTTTCCTGCCTCATCCGGCCTGCAGTGAGATCTGGCCCCGCCGCGAGAGGACCAGCCCTCCGGAGGGAGTGCAGAGCTTAACGCCTGTGTGCGTGCGTGTGTGTGTGTGAGCGTGTGTGTGTGTGTGAGTGTGTGTGTGAGTGTGTATGTGAGTGTGTGCGTGTGTGAGTGTGTGCGTGTGTGTGTGAGCGTGTGTGTGTATGTGTGTGCGCGCGTGTGTGCGCGTGTGTGTGCGTGTGTGTGTGAGAGCGTGTGTGTGCGTGTGCGTGAGTGTATGTGTGTGTGTGCGTGAGTGTGTTCGTGAGTGTGTGTGCGTGTGCATGTGTGTGTGTGAGCGTGTGCATGAGTGTGCGCGTGTGTGCGTGTGTGCGCGCGTGTGAGTGTATGTGTGTGCGTGGGTGTATGTGTGTGCGTGGGTGTGTGTGCGTGTGTGCGCACGTGTGAGTGTGCGTGTGCGTGAGTGTGTGCCTGTGTGTGCACACATGAGTGTGTGCGTGTGCGTGAGTGTGTGCGTGTGCGCGTTAGTGTGTGTGCATGTGCGTGAATGCACATGAGTGTGTGTGCGTGAGTGTGCGTATGCGTGTGTGTGTGTGTGTGTGTGTGTGTGTGTGTGTGTGTTTTCCACCTCCCACTCTCTCCCCATCTGCTCTGGGTATTTTTGTTTTTGGTTTTTCAGGTTTAGGTTTACAACAGAGAAAAATTAATTTATCAACAGCCTAAAACTGTTGCCAGTTTTTCTTACAGTTAAAAAAAGAATTACAGTCTCATTGACGGCTCTCTTCCTCCTTTCCCCTCTCCAACCTGCTAATCACCCGTCCATGCCTGTGTACCCCGGGCTGCTCTGCTCCCCACCGGTGCAGGTGTGTGAGGCGGAGAGCCGGGCAGCTTCCTCTCAGTCACTGTTCACCCCACTGGAACATTAAAACCAGAAAACGTTGCTTAGAAGATTCCAGCTGTGGGAGCCGCCGTCCCCGGTTGCCTTTCTCCTGTGTACGTGTAAATTCCTTAATAAACATCGCAGGGAAGCACTGTCTGCGTGCTGTCGCGTGTGTCCCTCTTGGAGGAGGGTGAGTCCCACCCCATTTCCTGCTCTCGGGGGCCAGTTCCCTCATTTCCTGTGGGGGGCAAACCCAAGGCCCCGGCCGTCAGAAAAGGGCCTTTATCCAGCAGTGTCCAGAGCTGTGAGCTGAGGAAACTGGAAACCTGCACCTGCTGGAGTCACAGAACATGGGAACTGGAAGCATTTACCCTTCCCTGCCTCCCTCTGAATACACCTTGTGAACACTTCCAGATGTGAGAGGACAGCACAATGGCTAAGAGAGAAAGCGTGGATCAGGCTGTCGGTATTCATATCCCTTCTTACTGTGTGACCTGGGCAAGCAATAAGCCCCATGCCTCAGTGCGAAATAGGCTGATGGTAACGCTCAGGTAAGAGGAAGCAGTTCCCGGGGTGCGTGTAGCATCAAGCGTTAGCAAGTAGCATGTGCCAGACCTGTGTTAGGCATGTATTCACTCAACAACTGTTCAGTGTTTACAGTGTGCCAAACAGTGGCTTAGGCTCTGAAATAAAGTAATGGATCAAAACTCCCCCATCTTGCCGGAACCGGTTTGGCTCTGTGGATAGAGCGTCAGCCTTCGGACTGAAAGGTCCCGGGTTCGATTCTGGTCAAGGGCATGTACCTTGGTTGCGGGCACATCCCCAGTGGGGGGTGTGCAGGAGGCAGCTGATCGATGTTTCTAGCTCTGTATCCCTCTCCTTTCCTCTCTGTAAAAAAATAAAAAATATATATATTTTAAAAGCTCAATCTCATAGGGTAGTGGGTAGGAGAGGTGGACATTAAAGTAAAATGATTTCATTTCAAACACCAACAGTACAAGGTACGTTAAGGGGGAGGGGTGGGTGTGGGACCGTTTGAATGGAGAAGTCGGAAGGAGCTGCCATTTGAACTGAGGCCTGAAGGAGCAGCCAGCGGGGTGGGCACCTGGAAAAGGAGCAGACATACGAGGCCAACGTCTGTGCGGGAAATTGTTGAGCTGTTGGAGATTGGCGGTCTGTAAAGCCTTGAGCCGGGGCTGTCACCTAAGAAAGCCCCTGAGCCGGGGACCCATTGGCTTCTAGGATTTGGAAAGGAGGGATCAGGAAAAACAAAAATTGACATCGTCCCACTCTTCTGCTCAGCCTCATGCGGCAGCAGACCTCGCGGAGAGGCAGTAGTTGACCAGAGGGTGGAGAGGAGTGTTCCAGCAGACAGTGGGCTGTACACAGAGAGCCCTGTAAGAGCACAGAGCATTCGGGAAGCACAGCAGTTCCATGTGGCTAAGGCATGTGAGTGGGGGCAGGAGGACAGGTCACAGGGGCTTCCTACGCCCTAGGAAGGGGTTTAGCTTGAAGTGTGAGCCGTGGAGAGACACAGATTTGAGTTCTAGGCAGCTACAGAGAACAGTGTGTTTGAGGGGATAAGACCAGATGTAGGGGACAGAGGAAGGGCAAGGGCTGAACTGGGGCGCGGTGGAAGGGGTAGGGAGAATGGAGTGGCAGAGAGCAGCCATTCATGAACTGCTTATGAGGCATGTGAGATGCTCAGAGGTCTTTCATGACAACGCTGAGATGCGTTTGGGAAAGACTGCTTGTTGTGTTGCCTCTTGTGCATCTGGAATATAATATCCAATAGTAATGGCTCTGGAAAGTCTTGTGGTAAAGACTTTTTACAAAATTAATTCTTTCTTAGCGCAGTTTTAGGTTAACAAATCTGAGTGGAAGGTCCAGAGGCCACCCCCCCATACACCTGCTGCCCCCTCCCCAACCTCCGCTTCTTTTGACCTCCCACCAGAGAGACATTCCTTACCACTGACGAGCCTACACTGACACAGTGCTATCGCCACCAATTCTCACTTACATTAGGGTTCATCTTGGCCTGCATGCTAGGGGTTTGACAAATGTATAACAACACCAGCTCAACGTTATAGAATCACACGGATTCGTTGCCCCATCCTAAAGATCCTGTGTGGCCTACCTATTCACCCCTCCCTCCTGGCAGACGCTCTCTATCCACTGAGCCAAACCGGTTAGGGCAATAACTCGTAATAACTTTACAACTGAACAATATTCCTTCGTCTGGGTATACCACCGTTTATTCACTCACTGAAGGACATCTTTGTTGCTTCCAAAGTTCTGGCAATTATAAGTAAAGTTACTATAGGAAAGAGGAGGGGACAGATTACCAGGGAGAACCAATGACTTAGATAGTGCTTTATTTTCTAAACTACAGGAAAAATAAGCAGGTGATTATTATATGGATCTTTATACTTTTTTAGCATGTTTTAAAATGATGCTTTATATAGTAGAATATTTATGTGACAAGGATTAGAAAATATAAACTACTAAAAAATAATTTTAAAATAAGTTACTTTAAACATTTGTATGCAGGTTTTTGTGTGGACACAAGTTTCTGATTCATCTGGGTAAGTACGGTGGAGTGTGATGACTGGATCGTATGATAAGAGTAGGTTTAGATTTTGTTGGGGGGTGGGGGTCCCAGAACCCACTACCTGGACCCTCTGTCTCCTTGACCTCCTTTGCTCTGGCTGCCAGGCCAGGAAGAGGCCCAGCCTTCCTGCACAAAAGGAGGCTTTGGCCAAAGCCGGTTTGGCTCAATGGATAGAGTGTTGGCTTGGGGACTGAAAGGTCCCGAGTTCGATTCCGGTCAAGGGCATGTGCCTTGGTTGCGGGCACATCTCCAGCGGGGGGTGTGCAAGAGGCAGCTGATTGATGACTCTCATTGATGTTTCTGGCTCTCTATCTCTCTCCCTTCCTCTCTTTACAAAATCAATAATATATATATATATATATATATATATATATATTTTTTTTTTTTTTTTTTTAAATAGGAGGCTTTGAAGCTGGAGGGAGGGAGTGAGGAAGGAGGGGCCACCTGGTGTGTATTTTTGGATTATTTCTCAGAAATCTGCTCCTCCTCCTCCTCCTCTTCCTCCTCCTTCTCTCCCGACACCACTGCAGCCAGGTGGCCGCTGGGGGAGCCACCTGTGAGCCGGGCTGAGTTGGGGGAGTGGGGAGGAGGGATCTCTGCTCCCCCTCTCTGAGCCTCAGTTTTGGCATCTAGAACAGCGGTCACCAACCGGTGGTCTGTGAGGTCTCAAACGTTGGCAACCGCTGATCCAGACTATGGACATGACAACCCAGATGCTGGCTCCTGTCAACCCAGGTGCTCCAGGAAGCGGGGGTCAGGCTGGTCTCCCTAGGGGGAAGGCCTGGGAGGTAAGGGCGGGGTCGGGGCACACGCTGCCTCATCCTGCAGCCGGTAACCTGGTGGCGTCC